AGGAGGTCAAACTGCCCTAGAGGACAAGTTTGTAGCCAATTTCTGCCTGTGAAGAAAAAAGTGGTCAAAAACTGACTTCGTATGACTGGAGCAGTAAAAGGTAACTGCTCCAATCATCCGGTTAGTAGCTTGCGCTTTTTTCGCACTGCGCTTCTTCCTGCTCCCATAAACTGCAATCTTTTGCATGCGCGAAACATGTTCAAGAACGCCCGAATCTGTTGTCTTAAAAGGAAAACTTCCTATTGCCGGGCTCGTCATGAAATCGTGGAACTCTTTTCGTGCTTCTTGGCTTTTCTAAAAGCGCACATTCACAGCAAAAACAAGATACACCCCTCCCTCTTGGAATTGTAACGCGTCGTCGCGCTGCGACGAGCGACGTCGTGACTTCTGAACGCTGTACCATTGCGATCTTTCAGGTGAAGAACATATGTGTGCCTACGTTTTGCTGTAGTCCGAAGATGGGCCGTGGTAGGACTAATCTTATCGCGGGTAACTGCGATTTTCACGCTTTTCACTTGTTGTCGATCCATCTTGAGCTATGGCTATGCGTCTTCGTTTAGCCTGGTTTCAGCATAGCGTTAGGCTTGTCTGAGGCTAGACTTGGCAGGTGGCATCGCGGACTGCGCTTTTTGCATGGAATGTCACGATATCGAAGTCTACAGTGCGGTGCTCATGTGGCTCGCACAAAGTTGACTTGAATAACTCGCTTCTCTTGTTTCACTCTTCATATCTAGTTTAGACTTTAGTCTTTAGACTAACTACTGTTAGTTTAGTAGTCAGATTTCTTACACTGGTTTTCTTGACAGTGAACCTACTTAACTTTTATGCATTTTAACTACTGTTCTCTTTGATTTTACAATTAGAACGACTACATATCCCATTTATATGTTGTCACGCTTATCACTGCTAAGTTTGAAGTAGGAGATAAACTTGTGGCGTTTATCTTTGTGCGGTCATTTGTGGTGAGACTCTATATCTAAACCAATGAACCACCACCTGCAAGTAGTTATTATAAATCTGTCTGTATGCACTGGAAAACTTATGACGACCTCGATTTCGATTTTTTTGCATTATATCACGAATATTATCAAAACACCTTTGATGTAACTGTGGAAACTATTTTCTGTTCCATTTTGTAGAGCATTTTCTCTGACGCTTAGTGTACATGTTTTGTAATACAATATATGTACATTATTGTACACAGGGCTCGTCAGAAAACCTAAAATGAATAGGGAATCTCCAGTACTCTAGAAAATACTGGGTTGGCCCATGAGTAGTGGTGTTCTTATATCACACGAGATTTTGTGCGAAAAGTTGGACAAGAAAGTGTGCCTGGTTTCCCATCCTTCCTTGATTTTTGTTATTTTTTAGTTCATCAAAATAGAAACTCGGGTTGAGGCAGATTAGGATTCTGTAGAACACTTTTTTTACTTAATGTAGGCTCCCGAAATGCAGAGGCAGCTCAAAAATTGTTGGGTGCGTGACCCGGGATGGATGCCACTTTTGACGCCTTGAAGTTGCTTCAAGCGATTAAGTATGGGGAAATAGGCCCCATAAATGTGCATGGCATAGGACACTCTCTTGAAGGGTGGGTGCTCGCAGAACCCATGCAGCAATTTCATAAAGTCTCCACAAGTGAAGGTTAGGCTCAATGAGGGTTGGAAGCATTCCACGAGCCGTTTTTTGGTCATTTTCATAAATAAGCTGGTTCAGTTGGCTCCAAACCGAACACAGTAGTGCAGCAGGTTCGATAGGTTCATGATTAGCGAAGTCCTGTGGAGGTAAAAATCGGAATTTGTGGATTTGGTTGCAACTGTCGTGTGGTGTTCTAATGAGACAATCTTTTCATGCCTTGTGGTTATCGAAGTGGGCGTCAAATGATTTCGACTTTTTCATTTACCGTGGGGAAAGGAGAGCTGTCGAGAGAGTAAGAGAGAGTACGCATAAAAGCTGGGCACACTATTTTATCGGGCGAGAAATTCTCTATGAGTCCTTGTAGGAATCATTGCTGTTACGCGGCATTACAAGATAGACAAAACATGATTATGGGCCAACCGCAATAATGTTTGGATGTCGTGATTCCATTAGAGAATTTATGTTATATCCGCTTTTTCGATGGTCAAAGTAAAAATTGTTAGCATTACCTCATGAATGTTGATTCACAGGTAACAGAACTGGATGACGAGTGGCTTGCACGAATGTCAAGGGAATGCACACAAAAGCTCAATCACTTGCTTTTGTGATTTGCTCTCCTGACGCAAAAAAGAACGAGAAACGAGGGTGCAGGAAAGTATGGGTCGGCCATGGTAAAATGGTGTTTTTACTCCCTCAAAATCAATGGGCGTTAAAGATGCAAAAGTTTCGCCGCATCAGGTTTATTTTACATCTCTTGGAAGAAGAAATGCCGCCCTGAAAGATGGTTCTCTCAGTCTTTCTGAAATCTCTGCTAACTACGATATTCAAGTGTTCAAACTGAACTTTCTGGTCGGCGAAATTGGGCATATTTCGAGCAGGCCTCTGTCTTTTTACTTCTCTGTTTAAAATAGCTACCGCGTAGGTCCCAGTGCTTAAGGTAAAGTATAAATGAACTCAAAGGAGGCTATGTCCCTTGTTGTTAGGAATGATTATAGCGGTTCCGGTTATTAGACGATTTCAATTTCCACCTCACAAACAAGCATCGAACCTATCGAGGGATTTGTACCTTCCGAATATTTTCCACACCTACAGTACATATAGACGTGTCCCGACTACAATGTTTTGGCGCTTGTACGGTACAGTCAAGCGGCCCTGGTCCTCTGCTTCCTTGCCGCTCCTCTATACGCCCTACAAGTTTTTGGGCGAAATAGCGAGGCAAAGGAGACACAGACAATTTCAAAGCAGCGCAGCAACATTCACAGGTGAAATAATAGTCGAAAATTTGGCCAACTGTTGAAAACACCGTGCGTCTAACCTAATCTACTTGGATCGTCAACTCACAGTGATAGTTGGCAAAGAGTTCGCAGTTGACAAATGTTTATTGATAACGTCGACAAGGCTGTTTCTTCAGAAGAACTGAGAACGTGTTTTCGAGCACGTCTTCCACATTGCACTGATAATTTTGGCCGAATCATTGAACTTGGTGCACAGGTTGTTCAAACACTCATGTACTGGAGCGCGTAATCATGCTGAAACAGTTTCTTTTCATCTTAAGGGATCTACTGTTGATATCGTCGCAATCACTCGAGGGGAGGGGTGTCTCAAGATAAAGTAAGAAGGTAGAATAAGCTCATCGCCGGCGTTCCACCTCGAGTTATTTTCTTCCTGAATCGATCACTAATCGATCACTACTGGTCGAACAAGGCAGCCAGAGGATTGCTAATCCTGTCCCTCCCCTCTGACAACGCCCCGCCTGATTGCGACGATACCAATTATAAGAAGATCAAATTCAGAAGCGCAGAAAGATGTAAAAAGAGGACAGTTTCCTCAATGAATGAAAGAGCAGATATTTTACTGAATTTGACGCATCGTCGTGGGCTCTCAAATCAGGCTGTTCAAAGGCAATGGGTACGATTGGTGGAGGTAGGAGGTGGTGCCGATGCCAATGGTGGAAAGGTGAGGTGTGGCCGAACGCTCCTCTCACAGCCCGTCCAGCAATGACGCTGGCAGCAACCGCCCGCCTCTAGCAGTCGCGCCCACTGCCTCCAAGGCATGCGATAAGGATCTCGTAACCCTAATGGTGGAGCATCTTTGACCCCCCCCCCTTTCACGGAGAACTCGAATTTTGGAGCTCTAGGAACTCTAATTTGTGGCAGACGAAGGGCCGTGTCAAGCAGTATGTGTGTGCCACGGCGCCAAACCTTGTTCTCTGCCAGTTGCTGAAGCGGGTTGCGACAACAGTTGGTAGAAAACGAGTGATGCGAACGATATGGTACAGTCTTGCCACCTGCTCAACAATGGCAAAGAATGGGTGTGGCACCGCCCCTAAACTCATTCCGCCTGACACGCCCCTTCTTCCACAGCAGAGGATGATCTATCACCGGGATGGTGTGATCGGAATCGTTTGGGAAAGATTTTCCTGCACTAGTTAGACAACAAAACTACCTTATTGACATCAATGCAGATTAAATCGAATACTTGTACAACATCGTGATGGCAGTCGAGATTCTCAACAACACCCTTCTCTTCAAGTACTCGTCGTCTGAAATAGCGCGAGTAAAATTGTTGCATACTTCGGAGAAAGTGGATGGAATTGTGGATAACCTCTCGCTTTCGTCAGGGACGAGTGCGTTGACCAGATTTGTGAATGTCGCCTCGATACTTCTTCGGTTCTGAAATTGTCCGGTGTTACAGTAGCTCGACAGCAATTACAGTAGTTTGGCCCACAATAAGCCTTTCAATCACTGCAACCAAGCTATTTCCCCTTAGCTTACTACATATGTGAAAATTACTTGGACGACCAGTAAATGACACGGGTATTAATTTAAACAAGGAAGATGGTTGATATTCAGAAACATCTGACCAACATGGAGAATGTTTTCGTTTTAGCTAGTTTGGCCAACAATCTCAGAGCTACCACTTCTGATGCTTAAAAGTACATAAGGTGACGAGTGGGCTCAGGCCATCATTTTCCCACGAAATGCCACCGATCTTCCGCCGCTACAACCAGGGGTTTTCTTGCCGTTGAGTTGAGTTATTAACTCTCTCTTTCCCCATCTGAGTTGAGTTGTTGACTCTCTCTTTTCCCATCCTACCCACCATGTCCCCAAACGCTTTCATGCCTTTTTTCTAGGGGGGACGTTTTTCCCAAAAATCTTCATTCTTTCCCGAAAAACTGCTGTGGAGCGGAGCTGAGAAAATTTTGCACAAAGGCGAATACGACCCCCCCCCCTCATCTTCTCCCTTTAGCGACCGAATATGACCCCCGCCTGGGATCCCTGACGTACGTCGTGCGCTGGCCACAGAAGGTCAACGGCGTTGCGCTCAAGGCTGCGTTGACTGTTGTCGTTTCTAGTACATGGCTGTCGTCTTGCAAGCCTCTCCTCTGTCTATGGTACTTCGCACGTACGCGTAGGGCCTCTTCTTTTCTCAACTCCCGCTCCACACCGAGGAAAACAAGAGTTGAGAGGTCCTTATTCACGATCTTTTTTTTTCTCATGTGAGGAAAATCATACAAGCAGTTACTGGCGCCTGTGTGGTCCACACCCTGCCCTACGTGGCTCCATTAAATTGCTTTCTAGGTAGTTCACCTTCTGAATCCTGCTGATTCAACATCAACGGCTGCTAACTGTGGGTGCTGCTTTACTTATGCTCTAGCAAGATCTGAGTTCGACATCTCCTGATGGCCATGACACTTTCTGCTGTTGAGACTGAAAATCCACAGATTTAGTTGCGGATCTAACTCATTTTCCGGTTCATTTAGGAGTAACGAAAAATCGCGACGTTCTCACCTTCTTATTTGCTTCGCTCATCTTTGAGCTGACGCTTCTACTGTACGTTGAAGACTCACCTGGTTCGCTGCCTAATGCTAATATTACCATAATGCATCACATGAGAACCAGTTGTTCTTCTCTTCACCAGCTGGAACTGCTTGTCCAGTGTTTCGGCGTTGAGGTCCTCCTACAATTTCATCTGTGAATCGATTCTACTTACAGGTCTGTCGGTCTATATTTTAGAGGAATTTAGCTAGCCGAGGAATCATTGTGCTTCTGCCGTATGCGAATGTGTCCTAAATACATGAGAAGCGTACGAGGTTGGTGAATGTCCTGGGGAGGTATCGGCGCATCGCTACCCAGCAGAAGCAGGTCACTCCACCATGTAAAACGGAGATGACTTGTATGTAATCTCTCTGGCGCCGCGTGCAGGTGATGATGTGCGATTTGGGAAAAATTGTTCATGTTTTTCGTCAGCCAACGAAGAAAAATTGTCTCAATATTGTAAAACCCCGAAAAGCATTTTCATCGTCACGTGCAGATAGAGCATGTGGTTACTGTCGTGACCGGGTGGAAGAGAGGTATAGTGCATCGGCGGTTACCATACCCGACCACGCAGAACGTGGGTATTGGAAGGGCCCACACCCTTTGTGGGGTTGTGTCGCGCGGATGGAATGCTCAGCAAGGGGCAGATGCCTGCCGGCCCGCCACGGGCATGTTAGGCCTAACCCCAACCTATGTTACCTACGCTACTATTGTGAGATAGAATAGAAGACTAATAAATATGTAACCGATAGTTGTGCCGACTATTGCTACATAACAGAAGACTATTGAATAACTATTCATGTTGACTATACTATTACGCAATAGAATAAATGACTATTACATGACTACCAAATAGATGAGAACAATATAGAGAAGGTTAAGGCATGATTAGAACAGCACAACATACCGGTAGGAAAGATGTGACGTGGTAGCGTCTTCTTCCTCTGTCTTATCGGCCCATTCGGCCGATAAGACAGAGGAAGAAGACGCATCTGACGACTGGCGGGTCGCGCGGGCTGAGTATAGAGAAGCAGAGTAGCTTCCCGCGCTTCCAGCTTCTTCCATCGTTTGAGCTGTCGGCTGCATCGTTTGAATTGATGGATACGGTACGATGACGAATGGAGCATGATATTGTTACGGCGCATACCACGGACACTTCCAGGTCGTACGCAAGTCACGACAGTTACACCCTGTTACGCCCTCTCCACCTCTGGGCGTGTATTTGAGCACCTACAGTAGCGGTCAAAAGTCTAGAAAATTTCCTTCTTCTGGTTCGTGCGGCTAACAAAGGGTCTGAAAGCTAATCGACTGAAAGGCTAAGCAAATAACAAATGGGAATGCGAGGAGAACGGCATTCAGGCTTTCACGGAGAATTAGAAATGTTTAGTGAGGAACAAACAGTCATACAGCTGACGCGTCAAAGGTTTGGAATATTCCTCGAAGAAAAAAAAGGGAGCATCAAAATCTCATATGAAAAGAGCTTCCTCAGGCAGTTGAAATGTATATTCGAGGTTTTGAATCAATTCCAACTCAGCTGCTCTCTGTCAACCTTTTAAAGAGCAGAAGAACTTCTTGTGGTAACTAGAAGTGCGTCATTTTATCAAGGGTCGAAGGTATGCAAAATCAAGTCGGAGGGTTGTGATAGCTGGATGTTGCTTCGGACCCCACATGCTACCCACGATGTGTGGCATGCCCATCGATGAGGTCCTGCAGCTCGAATGGCTGACTGCCTGTTGCTGCCAAGCATAGAGAACACTCAAATGTGAGAAGGCGAAGACAAGCAGCTCGTCTGGCTATGGTTACGTACATGTCTGGTCGTGTGGTACGTCGCGTCGACATGCTTGTTTGTGGCGGTAGTCCTAAACAGCGATCGGCTATCGCTTTCCTTCATTCCTTTTGGCGTTCTTTTGACTAGCACACTTCTACTTCCGCGGACCCGTTCAACTCGCACATGGAAAGGATCAGGATTCTCTGAGATGAGCCTGCAGCAGATCTGTAAGGATCTCGCCAGAAAAGTCGGCCTCGTTCAGGCTAGAGTTTCAGCTCGCTTCATGGGAATAAGGAATAGGTAAGACGGGCGGCGTGTGATGTGTTTTCGAGACATATGGTGTTCAAAATTCCGTTTTGTTCGCAGGTGCGTTAACAGTCAGACCCTAGACGAGGCACAAACCCACATTTCCCGCTTACCAAAAGTGTGCGCCAAACATTACTCTAACGGCCCGCTATTACCCTTCCACATCCATTGCTACTGAAGATTCCCTATCATATCGAAACTACGTGATGTGAAGTTTTTCAACCCCATTTTTGAATGTTCCTTTCAACAAAGTTCCCTGGCAACCGAATGATAGACTAAAGATCAAGGAAATAGACGTAATGATACCTCGTCGGAGTCTTCCATCCAGTTTACTGAGAACTCATCTCCTAGACATGGTACACCCAGGTTATTATCGCAGTAAGTGGCATACGATGACTCCTCGTTCGTTGGCAGCAGTGATGACGTACACTATAATTCAGAATCAATTGAATTTCACAAGGTTGTTACCATCAAAATGACAGCTCAACATGAAAAGCTTATATACACTTAGGTCATATTAGCTTATATATGAAATTACCATTGATGTCGTTCCTTCAGGATATTTTTGAACATGGAGCCACTTTCACACGCCTCCATATAGAATACCAGCTGACCGAACTGATGCTGCTGATGCATGGTTAACAATGCATCATTGAGTAGCTTTGCGGTCATCTGAAATGCCGAATTGTAATCGTGACGGAGCTGCAGCTCTAGCAATAGCTCTCTTCTGCTACTAGCTCTATAGCCCACCATGGGATGTATATTGCCAAACAGATAAACTTCTCATAGCAGGCGTGTACTCTAGTGGCTTGACCCATCACGCTCTGTATGTATGCTAGAGAGCGTGATGGATAAACATGCAGTTATTTCTGCGCACATGGGTCACCAACCAAGGTGTGCTCTTTGTCGTG